ACACACACACACACACACACACACACACACACACACACACACACACACACACACACACACACATGGTGTCACATCATTACAGCTAAACTTGTTTGAAAAATATGTCTTGACAAACAATGAAAATTTTACCTGGTGTGCTTTTATTTTGAAGGGAGGGCCTGTTTTGCGGTCTACATCCGTCTTTAACAGAAATTCCATTTTATGTGTAAAAGAAATAAAATTCAGATCAAATCTAAATTGGAGGCAGCATTTCTCTTCAACCATGACCCTTTGAAAAACACACAAGTACACTGTTAAAAATTCAACTAAAACACAACATTTTGTTCCGTGAAGTGGAGCTTTTAAGCCAATAAGGTGAGATGAGAGTTTGACTCGTGGTCCGATCATTAGCTGACAACAGCGCCTGACTAAGAAATCCAGCTGGCAACAATAAGCTGATAGTAAATCCAGACCAGATCATTAAAACGACTCARTCCGACCAAATGGTGGTTCAGGCTGGAGGAGAAAGCTGGCCCTCAGGAAACACACACATCGGTGGACGAGTAAAGAGCTGTCTGGTTGTTTTAAGGCAACAAACATCATCAGCTTTTTAACAGATGCAGAGATGGATTTTTTTTCTTGAAGAAAGAATTTATAGTCTGAAATGCTGAGTCAGCGTTACCACAATTGTTTACGTATTTATACCTTTTTTTTGGACTCAGTTTTTTGGAGCTCCTTCAGAACATCACCACTTTGGGATTTTGACACTTTTATACATTTTGAAATATTTAACTTTATTTACAGTTTTGCTTCTTTRAAGTGTGTCGAAATCTCTTCAAATCCTTTTTGAATCTCGTTATTCTGCAGCCGCTGCTGAAGCTTTGGCACCAATAAACACCCGTAAAACTGTCCCGAGTGTTGATCAGATGTGTGTTTTATCTCCTTCTCCACTTCGGTCCTTTTCTTTTTTTTCTGTCAACCTTGAGAAATGACACTAATGAGCTGTTAATTATTATAAATTGCTCTTTATTTACAGAGTCTGGCTGGACGCCAGGCTGTGGTGGAAGCTGCGACCTTACAGCGGACCATGAGAAGCCATCTGAGGACTCAGCAGGAGACGGTGATGAAAGCTGGTTTTATGTGAGGAGGGCATTCACTGCTGATTTGTATAAAATCTGATTTGTTTGGATTAGCTCATCTGCATCCCATTAGACAGGCGAGGATTCTTCACACCAGCTGACTTTAAGCCGTAAATCCTCCTGTCAGCTGCTCTTCTAATCTAATCCATCATCTTTAACCTCCCAATCAAAAGGTTACGATGAAATCAAACCTGTTGCGCCACCCGTATGGAGCCCACCAGCCTGAGCTTCCCCCACTGCCACAGGTGGGATTCATTCTCAGAGGCAGTGTTGCATTCAGAAAGCATTTTGCAAAGACATCCCCCTGCTGAAGAGCAAACATTTTACTCCCCACTTTTTTTTTCTTTCTCAGACATGTTGTTGCAATCAAATGGTTATGGCGTAAGTGGAGCCTGACTAATGGTGTAAAAAGAGAAGGAAACAACCTGGAAAACAACGTGAAAGAGCCCCGATGTTATCAGAGCGTGTTGTTGGGGAGGAGAAACCAGAAGAATGTGCTGCTGTCATCAGCCTCATCTCTGGACCGAACCACTGACCTCTGCTGCTCAGCAGGCAAAGGCTGAGAGAGAAAACCCACAGAGCTGCTGTCTGGGAACATTGGTCAGGATTTAAAAGGCTTTATTTACAAAACTGTAATTAATGATGGGATTTAAACTTTATTTGAAACAAAAAATTAAGCTTTTTGGATTGTTTTAAATAAAAATAATGCAATTTGATTATTTTTGAGGTCATCTAAATTCATATCCTCACTTTTAAGCTTTTTAAAGA